GATGTTGTTGTCCTTTAGCCCATCTTCCTCCCCACACCTTGTCGCCGATCCTGCACCAAAGTGCCTGCCTGCCTGCCTGGTCTCTGATCTGTCCCGTCGTCTCTTCGTGCCCCTTGCTCGTGCCCTCGCGCGTGCCTGGACTGGTTCTTTCCTCTATCGATAGCTTGAAAAGCCCTGGCATCGGCTCCTCCTCCTCCCCCGCCTCCGCCTCCTCCGCCTCTGCTGGTGGTGGTGCTGCTGGTGCTGGGTTGTGCTGGCTGCGTGCCCAGTGATCCCACGCTCCCCAAAATCAAGGCATTGGCCACACTGCTGTGAGTTGACGCTGGCTGATCCAACTCCTGGGCACTTGGTGACCTGTACCCGGCACGCTCGATTCAACACAACTGCTTGGACCGCATCTGGCACATGGCACGCGCTCTGGCATCCTGCCTTCCGTCCTTTGTCCATCCTGCTTGCCCCTCTCCTCGTGTTGAATCCCACCTTTCCGCTGGGGCCCCTCGTTGTTGCGACAACCGACGCAGCAACGAAGGGCCATCTGGACGAACCGAGACGCATCTCCCAAGAATACCACCAAATGCCTCATGCATGCCTGTCGGGCTTGTTTGTCTTTTTCCATCAATCTGTTGATGTCTGTTCTCAGGCCATTTCTCCTGCCTGGCACCACCTCGCCTACCCATCCATCCATCCATCCATCCCACCCGCCAAGGTATTGACGCTGGTGATCTTTTGACGCTGGTGATCTTTTCCCGTTTTCCCCCCTGGAAAAGCTCAGCTTGGCACGATCGCCCACCATCCCCACACATCCGACCTGGTTTCTGTACACACCCTTGTTCCTTGTTTCTTGATCTTTCAACCCGTCTCCTCGTTGCATCCACCATCACCTTCCACCCAAGCCTCCATCCTTTTTGATTATGTTGGAAGGCATCGTCGCCGGCGCTCTCCCTCTTCACCACCACCACCACCACCACCACCTCTTCGCGCTTGCCATCACCTGCACCATCACCTGCACCACCGCCCCGTCTTCATGCCTCCATCCCCATCCCCATCCCCATCCCCATCCCCACCCATGCCCACACACACACACACACACACACACAGTACTGCTACCACTACCATTTCCTACTGCTACCTCTTTTCTCCAATTGTGGTTTTGGTGTCTGGCGTGCTTGTTGTGGTAGCTGTTGCAGTTGATGTCGTAGTGAATACCGTGGCACTTCAAGTTGGTGTTGCTAAAGTTGGAGTTGATGTTGTAGCAGTGGTTGGGGTTGATGGTGCAGTCTGCATCAAATGTCCTTGTTGTGTCATTGGCTTGCCATCCTAACCCCATACCATTCTTTCTTGTGTTTTTTATTCTTCTCTCCCTCTCTCTCTCTCTCCCCCCCCCCCCCTCTCTCTCCCCCTCTCTCTCTCGATGCACTTCATTTCGGACCCATTCTTCCCTTCCTCTCCCCAACCAACCAACCTCCCCCCTCCCTTGGTCTTCTCGGAAAGTGCCTGCCATTTGCCCGCTCAGTCTGTTCCCTTCTCCTTAAGTCTTTTCACTTGCGATGGGTTGCCCACACATATTGGTAGTCCTTTTCCATATCAACGCGCGCGCGACACAGGTGTGAGGCGGCACGCTGGTGGAATCACGGCACTCATGCACAGACCCACAACCACCTTGTCATGCAGCACACACGCCACCAATCACCCAATTTGCCATTCATTGCATGCCCCACCCTGTCCCCAAGCCTACTCAAGCCATATGCATCCCCGCCCTTGATCCGGCTTTGTT